CAGAGCTGACAGTGTCAGAGTAGTTCCTTGTGTCTAGCAACACTAAGTCCCCACCTCAAATATACTAAGTTTCCTCTCCATGTTGTCTGAGTACTCCTTTTGTTTATCTGGGCGCTGCCATGGCATCGCGGACCCTGCTGACAATGTCAGCTTGGTATCCATAAACGATTCCACCTGTTTCCGCAGCGAAACTGGTCTCACATCCGAGACCTGGGAGGAAAGGGCTTTTCGAGCCTCTCCTTCACTTAGAATTGAGGAGTCAGTGTCTCCTCAAAGAGTGAGAGGCACTCTATGGTGGCGGAAGCCGTTCAAGTAGAACGGCGTGAGCCACGTGGACGCGTGCACCGCGTTGTTGAGCGCAAACTCCACAACTGGAAGCTGCGTCGACCACGTACGTGGTGCTGCCGCGCACACACTGCGCATAGTGTCCTCGAGCACTCGATTGACGCGCTCTGTTGGGCCGTCTGTCTGCGGATGGTTCGCAGTGGACATCTGCAGACGAGTTCTCAGTAAAGGGAACAGCGTTTTCCAAAACGCAGCAGTGAACCTCTCGGTCCGAGACAATCGTCTCCGGGAGACCGTGATAGCGGAACACGCCATCGACGAACAGCCTTGCGGTTTGTTCGCCCGTAACAGTGACGGGAACTGGAGCAAGATGTACCATCTTGCTCAGCCGACACACGAACACCAAAATCCCGGTGTTGCCGTGTCCGTCGGCGGGAAGCCCAAAGATGAAGTCAAGACTCGTCGACTTCCAACAGTCAGCCACTACGGGCAGGCTCTGTAGTGGGGCCGAAGAGTGCCCTGCGGGTTTGACCCGCTGACATGTTTCGCATGTCTTAACGTACCGGGCGACCCACTTGTACATGTGGGTCCATCAGAAGGACTGCGAGACCGACAGAAAGGTCTTCTCGCGGCCCAAGTGGCCGCTGGAGGGCGCGTCATGCGCCTCCGCGAGGATATCGAACTTCAGATCCTCGTCGTTGGGTACGATTACCCGTGGAGGATCAGTGGGCTCCACCCGGTAATAGAGGAGGCCCTCCTTCAACTCATATTGGTGGAGCCGTGAGCGCTGTCGCGACGAGAGCCAGTCGGACTTCGCGCTCGTTCCGGCCATAAGAAACTTGACGATAGGCGCGACAGCCTCATCGTCCCGATACGCCATGCGTATCCGATCATATAGATCCGTTGTCACCCGCGTGATGTGGGCCAACTCATAGTCAGGACGCCGAGAGAGGGCGTCCGCAAGCACGTTGAGCTTGCCCGGCTTGTATTCGACGCGGAAGTTGTATTCCGCGAAGAAGGACAGCCACCTCGCCATCCTTTGGGAGAGGTGAGGCGAGTTAGTCGCCGTCCTCAAGGACGCGTGGTCTGTGTAGATCACAAAGGGCCTAGAGCCCAGAAGGTGAACACGAAACGTCACAAGGGCGTAATTCATTGCCAGGAGCTCCTTGTCGTGGACAGGGTAGTTCCGCTCGGCAGCTTTGAGCTGCCTGGACTGGAATGAGATGACTCGTTCGTGTCCAGCCGTGTCGGCCTGCAGCAATGCACATCCGTTGGCGTAATCGTAGGCATCGCAGACGACGCTAAACGGCTTCGTCTCGTCCGGCAGGGCCAGGACAGGGGCCTCTTGAAGACTGGCCTTGATGCTATCAAAAGCATCTTCGTGCTCCTGCTCCCAGCGCTAGTCGACGTCCTTCTGAAGGAGGCTTGACAAGGACTTAGTGAAGCCCGCGTACCCTGCGCTGTGCTTGTGCAGGTAGTTGGCCAAGCCCAACCACTTTCGAAGATCCTTCTGGGATCG